AGAACGCAAGTATCATTGAATTGTCGCGGGCACAGGGTAAACCCCATCCGCGCCCCCTGCGCGGTCAGCGCGTGGACCCAGTCGCCAGCGCATTCCATGCTCATCGCAATATACTTCGTCGCATCTACTGCGGGGGGCAGATCCCCCTCCTTCGACGCGGCGAAGACCGAGGCCAGCAGGGGGTTGCGCATCGTGCTCGCGAAGACGTTGGTGCAGTCATAGCTGCTGGCATTGATGCTGGCGCCTGCCAGTCTCGCTCTCCATTGCGTGGCTTCGACACAGGCAATCGCACTATTCCTTGACCCGTTTCGAGGCCCGCCTTGCGCCCGGCAAGGGCGGCGCGGCGAATGCCCTCTGCGGGGCGCCCTTCTGCGAGAAGCCATTCCCATTGAGCAACGAGCACACATAACTCTTTTTCCCCCCGCGCCTCGTTTGCCATTGCCTTTCTCCGCTGAAAAAGAAATCGACCTGTGCCAATCCAACGGCGCACCTCGAGACTGGCGACGCGTTATGAAGATGTCCTCCAGCTTTTTTCTGCACTCCAGACTTGCATCGGCCTCCATCGCTGTCGACCCCAGCCCAGCCTTCTCATGCCTCCCTAGATGGCACGCCTGCCTCTCGCCCCTCGCAGCGCTTCCCCATCGTCAGCTCGCTCCGCCCGACCCAGCGCATGGCCTGCCCTCCACCCCATCCGCTGAAGCATGGCCCTGCCTACTCTGTACTCGTGGAGGGACCTGCACACGGCCAGGCCCCCCTCGCCCTCGCGTTGCTCCGCTGCTCGACTCCGCTGCTCCCCCAGCTTCCTTCCCGGCAGCTCCGAGTCCTCCAGGTTGACTGCGGGATGCAATCAATCCGCGGATCCTGCTCTCAAGAGGAAGGGGGTGACCTGGGTGGCCCTGGCCCGGCGGCGCGGGCTCTGGCGGCGCGGGGGAGGGGGGCCAGTCCCCCGCCCCGCGTGGACAGGGAGAGTTGGGGAAAGAGGGGGGCTGGGGTCCGGCGGCCGGAGTGGCTCTGCTTGCGCAAGGGGAGGGGGGGGGGCCGGCGTCGCGGGCCCCGGCGTCGCGGAGAAGGGGGGGCCCGGCCCCCCGCCCCGCCCGCGGGCAAGTTCAAGGGGAACTGGGGGAAGAGAGGGGGGTTCAGTGGCGTGGGTTCCGCTGGCGCGAGGGAGGGCAGGCGGGGCTCCGTGGCGCGTGAGTTTGGGCCTCAGCTACAGCCTCGAGGCGGAGCTTCAGCCTCTGGGGGGGTTGCCGGGGCGGCTCTGCCGGGGAAGTGCGCGCGCGCGTGGAGGGGGGGGGGGGGGGCGCGCGAGCGCGCGGGGCAACTTTCGCCCCCCGCGCACGCGAGAAAGAAATTCGAAAAAGAGGGAAAGAAGCGGAGCGGGACAAGAGCGGAAAACGGGGAACACATGGGGGGGAAGACGAAGATGGCGGTGAAATGCGAGTCTGTTTCGCGGTGCACTCGCGCGCGTCTGCGGGGCACGCGCAGCGCGCGCGCAATGTCTGCGAGCGCGCGCGCGTTTGTCGGCGAAGCGTCGCCGCCCAGCCTGGGGGGCGCCCCAAGCGACCCGGATCGTCGGCACTGGCCGACGGCCACTACGATATCACCCACGTAAATCCCACGGGGGCGCCCCGCGGGGGAAATGCCCTCCTTCGCGCAGCTTTCTTGCATTACTTTGGCACTTTAACATGTCCTTGTTGCCCATTTTCACCTGCGTTCTCCTCGAATCTCCATCCAGTGGTAGCGGCGTCTTCTCAGTTATCATCTCATCGTGCTCCTGCTCGTGCACCTCTAAGTCCAGCGGCGCCGCTGCCCGGCCCCCTGTCGCGGGGGCGCCTTCCCAAATCTCTCGGCCGCTCCTGTGCCCCACCGGGTGCGCACCCGAAAATAATGCCTCTGTCGCGCCCCCCCCCCCCCCCCATTCCGCCGGCATTCAATGCGCAGTCCATGCATCTCGCTGACGTCGTTGTTCTCGCGCGCCCGCCAAGTCTGGCCAGTATTTTTGTCTTGCGGCTTCCAGGTCGGCTCTATGTTCCCGAAGCACGTTCTGCATCTGCGCTAACTCTTATGTGATGTCATTCGGCCTCTCTGTCGTCTTTGATTCTACCATTTCCACTCACTTGCATTCGCTCTGCCAATGAAGATCGTCGCATTTGCTTCAAGGCCACCACTTCATGATCTTCTCGACTGGGAAATCTCCTCCATCGTTTTTTCCTCCCAACCTCACTCCACCTCTTCCACATCTGGCATGTTGCCGGACGGCCTTGGAATTCCTTTCATTATTCTTCCGCTCTTCGCTCGCCAGGTCCGCAATCCGAGATACCCCCGCGAGCGCCACTCCTGGAAGCGGGGCAGCCTCCAGCGTCGGCCCCTCCGACCTCTCCTGCTGCGACTGCGGGGCCAGCGCCGCGCCGCCTGCCTGGGTCGCACTCCGAGATATCCCCGTTAGTGCTCCTCCTGGCTGCTGATCTGTCGCAGACTTCAGGCCACGGTCGAACGTTCCCAACAAGTCTGCTCGCAGACGCCCTTTGCTCAAGCACTCCATCAACATGTCGCGGTCCGCATATTCGTCCGCCCTCTGCTGCCTGCGCCTGATCATGAAATGAAAATGATGTTATACACCGATGCCTAGGCCCAGTGGAATGCGGCATCGGCGCCCTTTTCGTTTTGATGTTTTGAAGCTGTTTGGCCACTCCTCTCAAGGCTGCGCACCGTTTTACGTGCGGTAGGGCCCCTGTCGGCACCACAACGTGGTCGATATTGCTCGTTCGTACTTGGTCTGTTTCTTTACGCAATGATAAATTGGCCCGCGCTCGTAAAACGTCGTGACCACTGACAAAAGGCTACGTGCGCAAACATCCCCGAAGGCTGCACAGGCGTCGTTCCCCACCTCCTTTGCAGTTGGTCCCAGTGGTGCTGCATGTTTGGCCGAAAAATGCCTGCTGACCACCAGATCCATGTTTCCCGTCCTGTGCATTCCCGATTGACTGTTGATGCCGCCCCGCCGTTATGATAGTAGACCTGCCACAAATCTCGTCACACCTCTCCTCCACCCACGTCATGGTAGTTTTGGAAATCGTCCGTGATTGGTGTACCACTTTCCCAGGTGGCGGGCACGTCGCGAATAGTGTGTCGCCGTACGCTTTGGTAGGCAATCTCGCCCTTGACGTTCTCCCTTGCAGTTGAGCCATGGAGCGTATCCGTCTCCATGTCGTGGGACACCACGAACGTCGCACCGCATGCCTTAGTTGCCCATGTCCCTTTCCTTGCCCGAAACTGCAGTGCCACATGATATGTATGCCTTGTTTCATCGTTTCTGGCCCTGCCCACGGATGCGCCCCCGTCAGCACAGTCACATCCCACTCCCGAAGTCCACTGCGAATCTCTTCCAGCCAATCCGTGGTTTTCGCCGCCAGCGGGCTGTCAAATACCAGTTTCATCAACGCACAGATCGAAATCTATGCAATCGCCATCCGTCCCTCATTCCCCCCCGCTCCCTCTCTGGCCCGTGAAAATGTGAGGCGGAAGTCACGCTAGTAAGTTTCAGTGGTAATCCTCGCTCCGTCGGGGCTCCAAGTGCCTAAGCCTACAACGCCGACTGGGAGGAGGAGGAGGAGGAAGAGGAGGAGGAGGACCACTGTAAACCAAAGACCAATCAACGATGTTGGAATAGACCCTCCCTCCAAGTTCCCTCTTCATACGCCCCTACTACGATTCATTTCCGCTGAGGGAAGTGCCCCGTTGGGAGACAACCGCTTGGATATCCCGAAACGTGCCAAGACACAAGTTTCGAGACTGCGATTCCACGAATCAACATGACTGTGGCGTTCTGACGGTCCTGAATCGTGCCAGAAGACCGCTTGTGGAACTTCACCACCGCGACTGAACGTCACTGCCGCGCCCTGGCAATCCCGGATCCTTCCAAAACGCCATAGATGGTGCGTTAACCATGGGAATCCGTGAACATCGCGCATTCACCAACGAAATGCGCGCGGCTTTCTGGCGAGAACCACACTCTGAAGAGGAGCCGATCCCAACCTGTGGAGCTCCCGCACATGTCTTAAACACATGCGCGCGGCGCTAACGCGAGAGCCACATCTTGAAAACGGCCCGCCCTCAATGCGTGAAACTCTTTACTTGTTTTCAGGCTAATGTGCGCGTCACAGTGTGAGCACCACCCGCCCTCAATCCGTGAAGCTCTTGAAACTTGAAAGAGCCACTGCGGCAAAAGCACGGGCCTCGAGGGTTCCGCACCCCGAACGTCCCTCGGGTTTCCAACTCCGGAAGGTCGGGGGCCAAGCCCCCCTCGATCGCTGAACACCCTTGGCACCCGAGTGCAGTTGTCGTTGTGCATCGCCTGGTCCACCAGAGCACGCAGGACACGCCCTAACACTCCCAGCTCAAATGGTCACACCAGAAGAACACACACACACACACACCGGCAAGACCTCTCCCAGAGCCACCACATGATCATATCGCACACTTGCTCCTGACGTGCCTCCGAGCCAACATGAACCGCAGCGACGAGGCCCCGAGAACTCACGACAGTCAGTGACTTTCTCCTGACCTGCCTCCGAGCCAACATGAACCGCAGCGACGAGGCCCCGAGAACTCCCGACAGTCAGTGAAGGCGAGCTCGTTTCGACCCGTGGAGCCTGGCGCTCGCAGAAGGACCTCGTCGAGAAGATCTGTTGCGACCTGCCTGAGACAAGAGAGAGGGAGAGAGAGAGAGAAAAAAAAAAGTTTGGAAGCGGCCGCGGGGCCTGCGATGAACGGGCCCCGGGAACATCTGTCAAGAGATGGTGCTCAAAAGCGGTCCCCAGACACCTCCCGGGGTCGAAACAGACCCGTTTTTGGAGCCACATCCAATCATGCCGACGAGGGGGCACTCCTCTCCCTCCTTTCCGCTGACCAAAACCACTGCTGGGCCACCTGAGCCCCCAAGCGGGCTCCAAAGAGAGGACATTCCCACAACACGCACCCCCCAATAGCTAAGGCAGGGCACGTTGGCGTCCCTCCTGGACTGTCGACGCACCCAGCGCCGCAGCAGCTGTGGCGTCGCCAGCTGCTCCGCTGTGGGCGTCGCGCGCGACGCAGAAAGGTCTTCATCATCCTCCTCCTCCTGCTCCAAGTCCTCCTCCTCCCCCCTCCTTCTGCTAGCTCTTCCACTCATTAACGGGCTACGAACGATTGGATAGACGCACGAATAATTACATAAATACATCAAGAGAAGAGGGAGAGAGGAAGAGATAGATAGAGAGAGAGAGAGAGAGAGAACAAAAAAAACACAAACACACAAAAAACAAACAAAAAAACGACGCAGAACGGAAAGACAACTTACTCTCGTAAGACTGCGCAGAGTGGCACTGGGCCAAAAACCCTTCCGTCGTTCGAGAGCGCGTGGCCCCCCAAACGCCAGGACCACTGCGAAACAGCAGAATCGCCGCCTGATACAGCGGGGGCCTTTTTAAAAACTCTTCGAGCGGGCGCGAGCACCCGCGCGGTCGTGCCACGAATTCTCGGGCGCAGCCGCTGGCCCGCGCGAACGGCGCGGGGCGGCGGCAGGGCCCTCGGCGGCCGAGGAGGGGGCGCTCACCACCGCTGGCCCCGCCTCCTCACCGCGCGCGGGGCCGCAGCGCCGTGCACCAGCGTGCGGTCCCGCTCCCCGCGCGCCTGGGCTGCCTCGCGCCCACGGGCGCGAGCGTCCTCCGCCGACGCGAAGCCGTGCGCGCGGAGGACGCCCTCCAGGGCGGGCACGAAGAGCTCCTGCACGCCCTCGCGCGCCGCTGCCTGCACGGCCTCCGCGGCCGAGGAAGCCGAGGCGCTCGCCAACACCGCAGCTGCACCGCCCCCAGGCCCTGCCGCGCCAGCTGCACTGCCCGCTGCATGCCGTGCTGCCGCAGGCCTTGGCGGGACGCCAGGGCCGACCTCGCGCTCCGCCGCCAGGAGCTCGTCCTCCTGGGGGATGGGCCCGCCGAAGTCGTCCATCTTGAGCGACCTCCGCCAGCGCTGCATCTCCTCCCAGGTCGGCTTCTTGAGCATCGCGATCGGCGGCTTCTCCTTGCCTGGCAAGCGCAGCTTGCCGAAGTCCGTCCTGGCCTGAGCTCGCGACCCCTGGCTTGACCTGTGATCTCCACCACCACACGGCTTGGCCAAGCCCCTGTGCGCGTACCTCGGCTGGTGGCAGTACATGAAGCAGCGCGTGCACACCAGGATGGCCTCGTGCGGCTTGCTCACCACATTGGTCTGCATCAGGTTGTGGCCGTGCACTACCCATGGCTCGGTTCCAGCCGCGGGAGCAGGGGACGGGCGTTCCTCCTCCAACTGGAAGCTCAGTGAGGGCACTGCAGACGACTTGGCCTCCGCTCTGCGCCGAACCTCTCTCGCAAACACCTCGCTCGCAGCCTCTGCACGTGTAGCGCCAGCCTCGCCTACCCCCGCAGCGATGGCGGTGGCAGGGGCGGAGCAGGCCCTCTGCGCGGCTGCAGGGCGCTTGCGGACAAGCCCCGCTGCGCCGCCCGCGGCGCCTGCAACTCCACCAGTGGCTGCTGCGCTGGCCGCAGCCGCCGCGGCGAAGGCTGCCGCTGTCACAGCTGCCGAGCTTCTTCCACGCTGCGCTGTGGAGATATCCAGCAGGCCGTAGCCCTCATCCTCGCACGTCAGGTTCCACGGGTAGAGGTACGGCTGGAGGTTGACTTCATCCAGTGCTTCCGTAGGCCAGCAGTCTCGCATACCAGAATCAGAGATGTAGACCTCAATCTCTGCGGCAAAGCGAGCTGCATCCCGTGCCCTGGCCAGGCAGCCTTCCAGGAGCTGGATGTCGTCGACTGAGGGAGCGTGGAGGGCGGCTCCTTCCTTCGCTCGCTGGTCCGCTAGGCGGTTGCCGAACAACTCGATAGCCGACAGCTCTCCTCTGGCCACTGCCTCTTCTGACCGATGTGCAGGAATGCGTTTGATCGTCACACCTTCGGCGGCATCCCCGACTCTGGCCCACAGGTGGGCGTAGGGCGAAGTTGGGCCCTGAGCTCTGCCGAGGTTGAGCGCCGAGTCAACTGTGCCCTGGCAGTCGATCAGCAGCTGGTAGTTGCCGATGACCTCTGTGAGCGCCACCACCGCTGCATAGCATTCACCCGCACGTGCCGTCTGCGATGGGCATAACCTGGGAGGGACCGCCCCCCACGCTTCGGCCAAGATGGCACCTTCCTTGGATAGCACGACGACCGACCAGCCCGCGCTGCGCAGGCGCGGAAAGTCCCTGAGGAAGCAGGAGCCGTCGGTGAATACCATGGCGCCGTCTTCGACCACAACAGCTTCCTGCCAACCATGAGAGAGCCGCTCCCATTGGGGCTGTCAGCGCGGGCGATGCAGCAGCAGGGAGGGGTCCACGAACAGGCCCTGGCAGAACAGCTCGTCGAAAGGCGGGCCCATCTCGTGGACCACCCAAGCAGCACGCTTCAGGTCCGACGGCAGCCTGTCACGCCACCAAGGTTCCCAAGCTGGGCAGACGTGGTGCCTGTGGAACATCGTGCCACGTGCAGCCTGGCAGAGCTTGCAGATCGGGTCGATGTCGGAGGAGTGCCTCGCCAGACGGTCCTGAGGCCAGTGCGAGAGCGAGACCAGCCAGCGCAGGCAGCCCTTGTGGTGCCCATTCCAGGTCTCCGTCTCCTTCTTGCCGAGCAGCTCGTTGACTGGTCTCCACTGAGGCGGCAACTTCCATGGCCAAAGCGATCCAGGTCGAGCTCAAGCCTCCTCCAGCGCAGCCGCTTTCCTCGTGGCCTCCCTGGCCTTCTCCGCCAGGAACGCGGGCGAGAAATGCAGCACCTCGAACTCCCCCTTGTCCTCGTCCAGCAGCTTGGTGCCGTCGAAGGAGAGCCGCCAGCCTATCCTCTGCAGGGTGAGCGTGAGCGCCGCTATCGGCTGACGGACCGAACACCAAGGCCGTTGCTTGCTGAGCACCTGCTGGCTTTCTTGGACGCACGCTTGGATGGCTGAGGCTGTGGCTTGGCCAGACCACACCACGTTGACGAAAGCCTGAACCGCCATGCCCACTGCAACCACCAGCGGGTCCTGCCGCCAGCCGCGGGGCGCGCACTGCAGGGCGAAACTGAGGGCCGCTCCAGGCGGCAAGCGACCAGCGCACTTCGCAGCTGCCACCCTCAGCGCCCTCATGCGCCCAGGTGGGACTCCAGCTATGGCCGAGCCCCAGAGCGCCTTGGCCGTCGGCCCAGCTCGCATCACTCTAGCTTGCCGAAGGCCAGGTCCGAAGATGCGTGCCAGTCGCCCAGCTTGACGGAGTGCGTCCAGTTCTCGCTTGACCTGCGTCGCCACCATGCGGTGTCCACCAGCAGTCGCGTCACCACCGAGGTCACGGTGTCCCTGAGCAAAGGCGACCTTGTCCAGCGGCCACCCCTCTTGCTTCATCAGCTCGCGCTGGAGGTCCACTGAGGAAACCAGCACTTTCGTTTTGCCCCAGCTGATCGGGAGCCGCTTGTCCCTCAGCATCGCCACGACGCCCTGGACGAAGCTGTTCATCTGACTAACCAGCACTCCTCTGGATCCTATTCCATTGCCCGAGATGTCGTCGATCACGTTGACAATCCGACCTATGGGGAGCTTCGCTCGACTCTTGACAAGAAGGTCCATCAGCATGAGCCTAGCCATCGTTGTCGCACAGGAGCAGCCTGCGATGACCGTGCCCCTCGCACGGATCACCTCGCTGACGGCGCTGTCAGCCGTCGCTCTCCTCGGTCCCGAGTATGCCACACAGAGCGCACGCACCAAGCCTGTGCAGAATCCATTTAGCTCGGCCGCCTTCAGCAGCAGCCCATGATCGATCCTCTCGTAGAACTTGCTAATGCCGAAGTAAACCGAGACTCCGTCGAAGCCGACCTTCCGAGCAAGGCCAAGGTACAAGTTGTGCAAGTACGCTGCCCTATCGCAGCAGGTGTCCGAGCTGCTGCCCCAAATCTCAGGAAGGCGGTGGGCTCGCTCCCATTGCAAACAGTACTGCCTGCGAATCCTGCCCCACACACGGAGCCAAAAGCACATCAAGCCGATGGGGCGGTGCCCGCCCCCAGGCTTGCCCAAGAAGACGATGAGCGTGGTGAACATCGCCGTCGGCTGCGGGTGCCTTTCCCATTGCGCCATCACGTCAGCCATGCGCTGCGCGAACGGCCTTCCCAGCATCAACAGCAGTTCGGGGTGGAATCCATCCCATCCGAGCGCCGTGTTCTTCGCGAACGTCCTCGCCGACTCCAGCACCTCCTCCGCCGTAATCGGGGGCAGCTCCGACGTTGTAGGCCAGTCAGCAGGACTGGTCTGCTGTGCCTCCCCGCTGCTCCACAGGGCCTTCCACTCCACCAGCATCTGATCCAAGGCCGCTTGGCCCACCAGTGGTACCGGAGGCGAGTCGCCGCTGCCGTCCGCGAGGATCGGCTTCTCCTCACCGTGGGACTTCTTGCTGATAGCATGAGCTCCACGGCCTCCACCAGCCAGCGACTCGTCCACGAACTCCTTCCAGCGGGTCCTGTCTGCGGACGCATCGCCCTTGACGTGCATGTCCGTGACCATGGCGATGGCCTTCATCACCTGCAGCCCGTCAAGGGAGCCGCGCCTGACCTCGTGGACTATCGTGTCCATCTTGGTGCCGTTGAACATCGAGTTGCCCAAGCCGTCGAACTGCGCTGCCAGGGATGCGATCGCCTGCTCCAGGTGCTTCATGTATAGCACATGGCTCTTGGCTGGCTCTGGAACCGATGCCGCTGCCCTGAGTTGCTTGACAAGCCTGCCGAGCGAGAGCCACAGCCTCGTCAAAGGGCTTACCTTTCTGGAGGTCTCCGTCCGCTGGAGGTCCCTGAGGCTGATCTCTACTCTCTTGAGCCCCATCCGCTCTGCCACGGTACTTGGGGCCGTCGGTGACTCCCAACATAGCAATCAGATGGTCCTCCGCCTTGTCGAAGAACTCGCACACTGCCTCATCTGGCCTCTCGCCTGGAGTTGGCAGGGGCGCCTGCCAGACAATGTCCTGGGCTGCTTCCTCCGCCTTCAGCTGGTCCTCCTCCGAAATGTCCGTCGACAGGTCGAATCGCTCGGGGCCTCTCAAGACCCAGACTTTGGCTTGAGCCCCCAGCTTGCTGAAGGTAAGCCGCACTGGAGCGTGGGGCTGTGTAGTCGTTGGCCGAAGCACTTCTGCGGTCGGGCTCAGCGCCGCAAGGGAGGCCGATATCACGAAGTAGTCGTAAACTCGGTCGTTTCCCGAGGTCACCGAGCAGGTAGGTAACTTGGGCGCCACGACAGCACCCCCCACAGACCGTGGCCACCAGGAGCTCTCCAACAGCTGCGGCTCCATGTTCCAGTCCGCTGCCACGACAAACGGCTCGCATTGGGAGTTGAGGAATGCCTGCAGCACACTCAGCAGCTCAACGTTGGTGCCCGTCATCTTGGCGGAGTGCTCCAGGTACGCGCTGACCACTAACACCATCAAGTCCCCGAAAACAACCCTTCGAGCGAAAAGCCGCGAGCAGAATGGACCCCAGTCATGATCCACAGGTGCTGAACCTCGGTGTGTCGCTACAAGACAACCAACCCCCGATGACACCGACTGTACCGAGCTACCCGTTCTCCTGCATGGGCTGAAGGACGCGTTGAGGCCGTTGCGGGTGCACCAGCCGATGGCCTCGCTCTCCTTCTCCTTCCCCGTGAAGCGAGTCTCCTGGATGAGGTAGACGTCGTCCTTCGAACCAGCGTCCGAGAGGCGCTCTAGCTCCGTCTGCGCCTCCTTCCAGGTCGTGCCATTCAGCGAGATGAAGGACGCTGGGCTAGCCACAGGCGGCGCCACCAGCTTGGCCAAGCAGAGCGTAGGCGCCCCCTCCAGCTGTGGCAGGACATCGCCCTTGGTGCTCTGAGGCTCGGGGATCGTCAGCAGGCCCAGGGTGTCCACCGTGACTTTGGTGTTGAGTTGGCTTCTTGTCTGCCCGTTTTGACTGACAGTAGCACCTCCGACCCTCTCCGCAGGCGGGGGTCCTGATCCAGCACATGGCGACTGAGCCTGGCCCGAGCTCGAGGAGCACTCGGGGCCAGGACTTGCGCTGCGCCTCTGCGTGCGTCCAGCAGGTGGCGACTGGGGCAGACTGGTGGCGCGGGGTGGTCGCCCACCACGACCCCCTATGAAGCCAAGGGCGGTGCCCAATAGGCCCCGACCCCCCCGGGCCTCCACGCCGTGCGACCTAACGCCATGCGATCTAACGCCTTCTGGAATGCGTTCTGACACTTCTGTACCCGAAGCTGAGGGGACCCCCGTAGCTGACCAGGATGATCCAAGGCCGCCTTGCTCTACGCTCAGGTTGACTTGGCTGGGCGAGACTCCGCCTCCAGGCAGCTGCAGCGAGTGCGCGTACGACAGCATGATCAGTTTCGCCGTCAGGTTGTCGACGTAGTCCATTGCCTGGTCGTCATCGGGGACTGGCCGACGAAGAGGGTCAGGCTCCACTCCCCTGCCAGGTCGCTGAGGCGGCACTAAGTCTCCAGGAGCTCTGTCCCCGAAGAATCGACGAAACATGTCCCTGATCTGCTCCAAGTGCCTCCAGTGCCTGTGCTCAAGTTGCCACCGATCAAGAGGCTGGCCTCTGTTGAGCCTGACCGCGAAGGCGACGCGGCGGGGCTCAGCCTGACACCTGCCGCTGAGGCAGAGGCCGTCCAGGATGCTGCCCCAGCCTCTGTCAGGAAACCAACTCCTCAGCAGGCGCCTGAGAGGCTCGTTCCCGCCGTCGGCAAGCTTAGCGCCCAAGGAAGCCTTGCGCCAGCGCCTCCAGTGCCCGCTGTCGGTCTCCAGCTCAGAGTGCGAGTCGAACCAAGCGGCTGCCCAGTCCCTGAGGTCCGCCCTCATGTCAGCGAAGTCCTGGATGGCCTGCTGTCGAGCAGGATCTGCGACATCAGGTGAAGGCACCATCACCACAGGCCTCCGCCCCCTGGCCACAGGCATGACACCCTCTGGCTCGGCATGCAGCTGCTTGCAGCACTGCTTGCCGATCATCGATGTGCCCTCGTCTGGGCGAGCGAGGGCAGGGACCAGGAACCCCCCGACCTGAGGCCAGTCGAGGTCCACGGTCTTGTTGCTCCAGAAACGGTCAGCTGGCCGCAGAGATCCAGCTGTCTCGGCCAAGGGCGCTCGCCGATCGCACTCAGCCACCTCGCCCACGGGGTCTGCCCCCTCAGGCAGAGGCCGCCTGACGGGGCGGCGGGCGACAGATCCTGGCCGTCCTCTGCTCGAAATTCTGGCTGGTTGTCTCCTCCCCCTTGGGCGACTGCGTTGCTGTAGTGGGAGGCGACGGCGCCGTCGAGTCTGCGTCCCCAGCCTCGCCGTCCTCGCCTCTCGTAACTGCATCGGCGGCGACCGCCCCTGCTGGGCCAGGGCCCTCAGGGCCTGAGCCCTGTCGCCGCCTCTTGCCAGCCAGCCGTAGCGCCATGGCCTCCTGCTCCTCCTTGAAGAGCTTGGCCTTCTCCGCCGCCTGCCCGAACATCTGCTTGACCGCCTGGGACAGCTCGCTCTTGAGACGGGCGCTACGTTCAGCCAGCTCCTTCCTGTCATTTGCATCCATCTCATACTCAGCGTCGTCGAACCCCAGGCCAGCAAACGAGAGAGGGATCTCCTCGATGGAGCCGTCCAAGATGCCAGCCACGCTGATGGGGGCAACTGCAGGAGCTGAATCCTGGCTGATGTTGACCACCTGGCGATTGAGCTCCACCACCAGCTTGCGGTGCTCCGCCTTCTTCGTCTCCATGTCCTCGCAGAGAGATTGGACCCAACGACGCTGACTTTCAAGGCCTTCCTCGAGGCGCTCGAAGTGCATGACCGCCTTCTCCAGCTTCTGCACGACATCCTGCACCTGCTTGTGGGCGTGGGTGACCCTCTGCGACAAGGGCGGGACGTAGAGCGCCTCCTGCTGAAGTCTGCGCCTCTCATGCAGGGTGCGCCTATGCTTCGCGAGGCTGACCGTATCCCCCAGCTTCTCCAAAGTGGCCACCAGCTGCTCCAGCTCGTGGATCCCGAGCTCCACTGAGGGGCCATCCTTGGCCACCAGGAACTGTGCGCCAGGTGCCCGAGGAAGCTTGGCTGGATCGCCACCTGCACCACCGTCTCCACGTCCGCCTTTACCACCCTTGCCGCCGTCTCATTTGCCCGTGTCCTTGCTTTTCTTGCCCTTCTTGCCACCTTTGCCGTCCTTGCCATCATCCCCACCGAGTTGTTGCTCGCGCTGCTCGCTCCAGAGGCCAGCGGGTTTGGCAGCAACGGCTGGGCTGATGTCCGCAAGCTTGTGGCCGCAGGCCTTGCAGAATTTGCTGCCCTTGGTGTTCCTCTTGCAGCCGCACTTACTGCACTGCGGTCCTCGTCCAGCTTGCCCCACCTGGTGCCAGCCCTCGACGTCGTCGTCTGAGCCGATGTCGCGCCAGGCCTGCCACTGCTGCTTCTGTTGCATCTCACAGGGTGGGGACACGGACTTCCACCACGGAGGTCGCACGGCTGCAGGAGCAGGAGCCATGGGGCGAGTGCCAGGAGGAGAATCCTGGACGTCGTTGCAGGGCACAGTGCTCCTCGCGGGAGCTGCTCCGACAGGAGCTCACACAAGTGTGTCTGCTGCCAGCACCTGGCCGCAGGATCGCGGGCGGGGGCGCGCCTCCCCCACGCCAGGTGACTTCAAGTCCTTGTGCCAGAAATGGCTACGGACATGAGCCAAAATGGCTACGGACAGCGGGGGCCTTTTTTTTTTATCTCTGTGGGCTCCGCGCGACGAGTCCCGCAGAGGTTTCATGCAAGAATTCGAAAGAGGGGGCGGCAGGCCGACTACCTACTCGCCCGCACGCGCGCCAGCTGCGCCTCAAGGCCCGCCAAGAGGCCTGCCGACGCGTCTCGGAACTGCGCCGTGGTCTGGTCCTCCGCCGAGAGGCCCGCGCGGTCGTCCAGCTCCGCCTCGGACTCAGCCGCAAACTCCATGCTGTGCGCGTCCCCGGCCGCACGCGGTAGCTCCTTGCCATCGCCGTCGATGCCCTGCTGCCGCTGCGCCACCGCCGAGAGGTCCTCCCAGGCGTCACCGCCGCCTGAGCTCTCGGCGTCCCAGTCCTCGATGCAGTGGATGACGCCGTCGATCTCGGTGAAGCGCTCCAGAAACCAAGGGGGGCCGAGGAAGTCGAGCATCAAGCCGATGTCGAAGCCCTCGTCCACGAACTCCTGGATGAGCTTCACCCTATCGATGCCGCACTCAGAGTCTTGCCCGAACCAGTCGAGGAAGAACAGCTCCGCCTCGGACTCGGCCGCAACCACTCTGCTGTGCGCGTCATCGGCCGCATCGTCGCACGCCTGGCGCCGAGCCCCCCGCGGGGGCGGCTCCAACCACGTGCGAGAAATCCCCGACCTTGCTCTCAACATCTTGTCGCTGATGCCGCGCGAACAAGCAGACGAGCAGGTGGGAACCTCCTTCTCCGACTCCACGTCGCACTCCACAGTGCTCTCGGAGCCGCCGCTGGCCTCGGCTGCGGGGGGGCCCATCGAGGCCTCCGCGCGCCGCGTCGCCAGCCGCCAGCCGCAAGCGACGCCCTCTCCGAAGGCCCGCGCCTCCAGCTCAGGGTCGCACTTCTGCCAGCAGCCTGGCGCCAGCAAGCCCTCGCCCAGGTCGCCCTCGGGCTCTGCCTGGAGCTGCTCATCGTGCAGCACCGACTGCTGCACCTGCGGGACCGCCTGCTCCAGCTTCTGCGCGCCCTCGGGCCCCGCTGCGCCCCCGCCAAAGGCCACGAGCCTTGGCCCTGCAGCGGCCCCCTCAAGGGCTGCCCTCGAGGCCTGGGCAAACCCACACGCAGGCGGCTGCGCAGCATGCCACGCCACATTGCGGCGAAGTCGGGAGCTGCCACAGACTCGCCTGCCCGCTGCAGCTGCTCGCAGGGCGGGGCGGGAAGCCGCCTCGCGGCCCCTCCAGGATCCAGGCCCCGCGCCGCCTCTGTCCCCGAGCGCCCGGCGTAGGCCAGCTTCGCAGGCCAGGAGCCGCCTGCGCCGCGCCGCGCGCCGCGCTGCCGCGGCGCCGAGAAGAGCATCTTCCTGCACGCGCATGGGCCGCCTCCCGGTCGGGCAGCCCCCCGTCGCCATCACCCAGCCGCCCGCGCCGCGCGCGGCGGAGCAGACTTGAGCCAAAATGGCTACGGACAGCGGGGGCCTTCTTTTTTTATCTGCGTAGGCGCCGCGCGAGCACGGCGGTTTCATGCAGGCATTCTAGGGCCCCGCCACCGCTCAGCGCCCGATCTCCTCCAAGAAGGCGGCGTAGAGCTCGGCGAGGTCGCGGGCGCGGGCGGCCGCAGCGCCCTGGGGGCCCTCGAGCTGCGGCCCGCCGCTCCCGCCTTCGGCCGCTAGCGGCAGCACTTCGCCATCGCCGTCGATGCCCTGCTGCCGCTGCGTGGGGCCCAGGCGGACGCCGTACTCTATCGAGCGGTCGCTCGCCGCCGCGGGCTCGGGCGGGGCCCGGTTGTCCTTGGGGAGGCGCCGCAGCTCGATCCCGATGCCGTGCATCTCGGGCCGCGTCCCCGCCTCCAGACAGCAAGTCCAGATGGTCACCACCTGCGTGGCCTCAGCCGCAGGGGGGCCCTCCGAGGCCTCCGCGCGCCGCGCCGCCAGCCGCCAGCCACTTGCGAATCCCTCTCCGAAGGCCCGCGCCTCCAGCTCGGGGTCGCCTGGCTGCCAGCAGCCTGGCGCCAGCCAGTTCGCGCCCAGGACGTCCTCGGGCGCTGCCTGGGGCAGCTCTCTCTCGTGCAGCATCCTCTGCACCTGCTGAGCCGCATGCCCCTGCTTCTGCGCGGCCCCCGCCTTGTCCTCGTGCACCTCCTCCGTCGCCGAGGGGTTGAGGAAGGGGGGCTTCCCGAGGCGCTCCTGCTTCTGCGCCTTCCTGAGCTCGTTCGCCGCCGCCCCTGCGATGCGCCCCTTGATGGCGCCCGCCTTGGCGTGCAGCGCGACGTTCCTCCTGAGCCGCGCCAGCCAGGAGGGCTGCTCGCCGTTGACCAGCGCGTCCAGCGCAGGCACCACCGCGGCGAGCCTGTCGGCCAGCTCAGCATCGCCCGTGAAGGCCTCCAGCGTCCTCTCGGCGAGGGCCAGCCGCTCCACGAGCTCTTCCACCCGCGCTCGGGCATGCCGCACGGCGGCGTCCGCCGCCGAGCGCGCCCGCCGCGCAGCCTCGCTGCGCTCCGCGCGTGAGCGTGGGGACCTGCGGGGGTCCCCTCCCGTCGCCATCACCTCAAGCAGCTGCTGCACCCGGACCGGCCATGAGCGGAGGCAGATGGCAGCCAGGGGCTTGAGACCGGCTTGAGCCAAAATGGCTACGGACAGCGGGGGCCTTGGCTAAGGAAACCCTGGATAAGGAATCCAGGGTCTGAAAGCCTGTTGAGTTCAAACTGTGGACCGGCCATGGGTATCGCCACCGCCCTCATCAGATAAGGAACCCTCCAGGTTCTGAAGCCTCCTGCGCACATCCCTTAACCAACGCCCCCACCGAACAAGCATAACACAAAAAAGCTAAGCTTCAGAAACAAGCAACATGTGCTGTTCCTGTCCCGGGTTGACACTATGCCAGAACATGGTGTGGACAGGCGTGTACAGCTGAAAACATGTAGAAGCAACATACAACTACTTGCAACTACGCAAACACACACACACACACACACACCCATACACGCACACATACGCACGCACACAAGAATCACACTCATCTGCAAACATGCTCTGTCCTGGCCCTGCCTGAATACAAGGCGCCCCTTTTGATCGTTCGATACGAGGCGACGCATGCTCCACGGTATCGGTTTAAACCAAAAGGCAAACAAGGTGCAATGCGTATGAGCTGCATTTTGACACACATATGTGTGCTCATCCGGCCAACTGTAAAGCGGACGCGGCGCACCCTGACATTCGTATTGCGTGCGCAAGCCGCGCTTCGAATCGAAACACACAGCGAACCGCTCACGGCGAGGCGCCGTGAGCTCAGCACTCGAACCACATTATCATGTATGACGGCCTTCTCAGAACACACGATGACGTTGCCGCACGCGCGACATGAATCGGGCTTGCGCGCCGAGCAGCGTGCTCAATGCAAACATCGCCACCATGTAGAACGCTTACACGCACAACATCCGTGCCCGACTCCTGAAAACATCACGCGACGTTGCATGTTCCCCAAACAACGCTTGCACTTGAGGGTTCTGAGCTACTGGTCGAAGGAACTGGGTTTGGGTGGCGGTCTGGTGGTTCCATGTTCGCCGTAGCCGCCCCATCGCCGCCTCGTCGCCGCCCGTCGTCTGGCCTGGGTGACTGTCTGGCGTTTCCGTGCTCGCCGTCGCCGCCCCGTCGTCGCGTGTCGTCTGGGCCTAGGTGACGGTGTAGCGGTTCCTTCCTCGCCGTCGCCGCCCTATCGTCGCCGCCGCCGTTTCGCATACACTGCACCACATAGTGCGCACTGCATAAATTTTACCACATACATTCTTTCTTCTAAATGAATATTAGGATCTACCCCCCACCTGGAATTAAGGGCACCTCTCTACGCGCATTGCAATCTACATATGATTCTGCCCCATCGCCAATCCGAAATATGAACTCGTACCATCACAAGCAGGCCGGTATCGCCTGACCCCCCCGTTTCAACTTCTGCAAAAATACTATGCGGTCACACTCGTTTATCAACAATCTTCAGTTTTCGAGAATCCATATATACAGATATATGGGTCTTTGTCCCACCAACAATGCACACGCGTGCGTCGTCGCGCACATGCCAAAATCTTCAAAACTCTTCAGGTGTCGTATAGAATTCGAAATCAAGTGTCCCGAACACATGTAAAAACACATGGTGGCGCAACAAAAAGTCCCACACCAAAAAACACAACGAACACAACAAAGACAACGGGCTCTTGAAGACTATTAACACTCCCGAATATCCCTCGATGTATATATATATATATACACATACATATATATATACACATATATGTATATATATATATGTATATGTAAGTATATACATACATGTAGGCGAACATGCATACTCACACACATACATACATGCATATAATAAATATACATATATATACATGTACACATACATAAACATATACATACACAAAAAACATAAACATATACATAAACATAAACGTATACATAAATATATACATATACGTGTACATGCACATATACATAAACATATACATAGACATACACATACACATATACATAATCAAATACATATACACATACATATACATATACATATACATACACATATACATATACATATATATATATATATATATATATATATATATACATATACATACCTACATACATACATACATACATACATACATACATTAGCACAGTGTGTTACCGAACGGGCCCCATCGAGCACGCATGTCGGAATCGTTCGAACGCTGTCGCGCGCGTGTTAACGCACATTTTCCCTGCAAGGAAACAAAAGGACGCGCACTCGCGTGCATCGTCGCACGCGCATGCCAAGCTCCGTCAAAAACTCCAGCTTTCGGAAAGATGACGAAATCGAGCCCCGAACACATATAAATACAACGTGGTTTTGCAACATCATCCGTTATCCGGGGGAGGAAAAAAAAAACAAAAAACAAAAAAACAAAAAAAAAAAAAAAAAAAAAAAAAAAAAACGCCTGCGTTCGCGCTCCTGCGACTCCTTAAGGGAACCCTTTTTGACAAATACCTGCTCAACACGTTGATATAATTAGCCCAAGCGGGCCGCTCGCGCCGCACGCCGAAATCATTCGAACGCCCCTGCGCGCGTGCTGGAAGGAGCACAGCCCGTGCCAAATAATAGCACGCAAACCATTGTTGCGCGTCGGCCGCGCGCGCACGTCGAACTCCCTCCAAAAACTTCACCACTGACGCGAGGCGCTGTCATCGCCGTCGGCATGATCAGCATCGGCGCCGTCACTGACCTTGCCGTCGTCGTCGTCGTCACCATCGCCACCAGCATCACTACGACCATCATCGCGTGCACCGTTGTCGACGTTGGCATGATACCGCGCCCGCACACGCCGCCGACTCGCACCGAACTGCCCGTTGGACAATACTCAACTGTCACCGCCACCGCGGCCGCGTCGTCGGCCACGCCAAACTAGCTGGCCGCTGCGCGCGCGAGCATGCGCGGGCTACCGCGGCCGCGCAGACGCCCCGGCCAACACCAAACACTCATCGCAATCGCAGCTGCATGGGCTTATGCAGACCAAATTGCGGGTTGATGGGCGGGATGCTTGTGCGATCACTGGAGTCGACAACTCGCTGCGAACGGAAATCAACTGCACAACATCGTTCTCTTTTCTATCAAGAGAGCATGGACCCGACCCCCACCCACCCCGGAAGTACCCGCCCCCTTTCGCATTGCATTCATGTGAACCTGCCCCATCGCCCATCCGAGCTATCAACTCAAACCATCCAAGGGGGGCCTGCATCCGCCCCCCCGCCATCCTCTGCAAAATTACTATGCGCGCGCACTCGCATATCCAAACTCACCCGTATCCAAGAATCCCTTGCAGAAAAAATCGAGGTGCGCGCGCGACGGCGCGCGCGTGCCGAAATCCTTCGAAACCCTTCGGTGCCCCAAAAACTTCAAAATCGAGTGCCCAAAAAAACATGTAAACTCACACGCGGTTTCGCAACACCGTTTCCTGTTGTGTATATATGAGTGTATGTATACGTGAAACGAAACTTGCGCGCTTCTGCTGATTGTTCAAAAACTCACTCAGTGTTTTCTACATCTTCATAAAATTCTACCAAACGTGCTTCGCGCGCGCATGTGCTCATGCGCGCCTGCTGGGGTGGCGCGACCCGCGTCGTATTATACCGCGCGGGTCACTCTCGCGAGTCTGCCGCGAGCGCGCGTCGAACTCCTTCTAAAACCTTCATCACCGACACGAAGACGCCGCCATCGTCGTCGGCGTGATCAGCATCGGCGCCGTCACTGGCTGCCCCCTCGTAGGTGCCAGCATCGTCACCAACATCAAAACTATCATCATCGCGTCTGCCGTTGTCGACATCGCCATGAGACCGCGCCCGCCACTGCCGCCGACTCGCACTGGGGTGCCCGCTGGGATGCGCCCAACGGTCAGCGCCACCACGGCCGCGTCGGTCGCGCCGAACTAGCTGGCCGCTGCGCGCTTGGGTTGGCGCGGCCGCAGAGACGCACCGGCCAACGCCAAGCATGCATCGCAATCGCCACCCCATGGATTTTGCAAACCAGGTTGCGGGTGGGTAGGTGGGATGCTAGCAATAGCGCGGGATGCGTCGACTCGTCTGTAGAAAACAACTATCCTCTCTCCAGAACAAATGACCCCCCCCCCCCCCCCCCCCCGGGATTACCACCCCCCTGGGGGCGTTAGAATTTACGCATGATGATACCTCCTTATTATGTATCCATATGAACGCATGCCACCCCAAGCAAGCCCCGCCCCCCCCCCCCCGCCCACCCCTGCCAAATAATACCAGGCGGCGCACATGCGCTGATCTGACATGAGCTGAATGCACGAACCTGGATGGAATAATTCAACGCGGGCCACGTGCGCGCGCGCAAGACGAAATCATTGCAAACCTTTTTTCGCTGCGATTCCAACGTAAAACACTAAACCTATGCATTGTGTTTTGTTGTTTTCCAACCAAATTTTCAACATCTCATCTCGCGGGCCCTCCGGAAACCCAGCGCTTTTCCAACTGGGGACCATCGCGCGCGCGTCGACGAAATTATTCCGATGCCCTCGCGCGCTTGCCAGAGGCATGATCCCTGTCAAATAATACCATGCGGGGCGCCGTCGTCGTCGCCGTTGCCGCCGGCAGCGCCGCGATTATTGCCGTCGTCGTTCGTCGACGCCATCGCCCGCGCTGTCTCCCGCGAGATGGGCTCTGCCCGCGCGACGAGCGCCCGCGCGCCAATGAACGCGATGACATTATCGGAGGAGCTCCACGCTGCAACTGCAATCGCGACCTTATGAGTTCTGCCAACCACCTCATCGTCTTTTGTCAACGCTGTCGCCCGCGCTGTCTCCCGCAAGATGGACTTTACCAGCGCCGCGAGGGTCGCGCGCCAGCGAGCTCGATGAAACTTGCGAACGAGCTCCACGCTGCA